AAATAATAAATAAAAATATAAATAAAAATATATTGACAGCTTCCATTCACAAGTAAGGGGCTTTACTGTAAACCCTCTAGAAATCTTCCACAAAGTAAAAAAAAAAAAGTAAAAGGCTGAGAAAAACTGGTTTAGACAGAAGTCCCTCTGAGGCACAGTGTCTCTTTTACTTAATTTATACAAAACAGAATGATATACATCTAATTTGAACTGACATCTCTAAATACTGTATTAATATAAACATATTAGCAAAAACATCAAGTGTACACAATACATACACTGAAGACTAGACAGTCTGCCTTCATTATGTTTTCTAACACAGAAATACTATTACAAATGAAAAATCATGCACAGCTGTTAAAACATGCATGTACAAAAGTAATGGAAAAACCTTTTGAAGTTTTCGCAGGCGTTCCAGTGTCTTCAATTTCACTTTCCTCCGTCCCAACCATATCGCTTTTGCTAGAAACCCTCTGAAAAGCACTGACTTTGCTGCTTGATGGTTTTGACTGCTTTTGCAATGATTCTGGTGATATGTAACACTGCTTAATAACATCTTCATCTGTTTCTTCCTCCGAACTGAATGGTGGAGTTCTATGCAAAAACACACACAACCCGAGGACTTACTAGGTTTCAGTGACTGCACTGATGTATACACGTATTTAAGCTTCCTTGTATTTTTCTCTCCAGTAAAACATGCAATTTTCTTATGTGAAAAAAACAGGAGCTCCTACAAATTCTAACTATCCACAAAACCATTTAAAAGAAAATCACACTGTTAAGTAAACTCAGAAAGTTATCACTAAAAGATCACTCAAAAAGACACGATTACTTTCATCTATGCAACTATCTTTACAAAATAACAGACCAATGTATATAAAGTTTTGCCAGGCAAACAAAGATAGGCTTTCATGGACCAGCAGGGAGAGAAAAATCCAAGGCCAAGGAAACTGCACCACAGAAAGTCTGTTCTGATATTCTGTTAGATGAAAATAATTCAGGAATTTTTCAGTGCAGGAAATTACAAAGTAATGTGACTGACGGGAGTGGAATCTGGAATACTGTGTTAAATTTTGGTCATAGTAAGAAAATGCCAAATAAACTGAAAAAATAAGGTCACAAAAGTCTAGAAATGCTTTTAACTGGCTCAGAAAAAACATCTGAGAATGAACCTAAAGGAAGTGATGCTACCCAATCTCACTGGATTTCCCTCTCTGTGGTTCACAATAAAGAATACATCTGCTGAAAGAAGAACATGCTCTCTTTCAGTGATTGTAACAACAGACTAAAATGGAATACTACTTCTAAAATAAACACTAAATATGCAGTTCAGAAAGTGCTTATAATTTCAGCTTACTAACAGCTTTTGCGTGGCAAGCATGTGAATATTCAGTAATCAAAAATATTTTCTTCGAAAATACAAGTGAACAAAACATACGTGATACTAGGGGTCTTTCTGGAAACTCCATTTCCAAAAACCTTCCTGGATCTAGAAATAACAAGACAAATTATTTCAAACAGTCAACAAAGTAAGCATAAAGTTTACACAGAAGTAATGTGAATTCTTGGCTCAATTCTTACAATATTAGCAGAGTCACAAAAGCCCAACCCCACAGGACTGTTATGTGACGTATGAGCAACATGAGAACAGCATCTCCTACTTTGGTGTAGATGTATTCTCGGGAACGGCTGCTCTCTGTTCAGCTGGGCGGACAGTTGTTGAAGACCGTTTTGCTGGTTTTCGTGCTGTGGCAGATGAGGAAACTCCCAATTGATTGAACTTCTGTTTATCTACAAGAGAAGTTAGCTATCTCATTATTAGAAACAACGTTTGGTATCTTTTGTAGTTCATTTCTAAAATTTAATCTAAAATGAAATTTCTAAAATTAAATCTTTGTTGCAGATCATAGTTTTAGCAAAAGAGAAGGAAAAAAAAGTAATTTTTTTCTTCAAAGCAGTTCAGTTACCATGTATCTTGTCCATATCAGAGCTAAGATTTCTGCAGTTAAACACAATGTCAAGAACCCCTTATAAGAAACTGGTTAGTTAGCCATAACAACATAGAATATTTATATAACAAATTATGAAAGCAGCTATATATAAATGTTGCTAAATAAAACTTTATAAATAGCCGTTATAAAATGTAAGAGAATAAAAGAAACCAAAAACATTGTAACCTTCTGAAGGAAGCTGAGGACAGGAAACAGTTCTATTACAAGATGATGATTTCTCTTCAACCCTAAAGCTAACTTGGCGTTCAAGAAGCTCTCGGATTCGCTGAATGTCAGGCTCTTGCTTCTGTTTGTATTCTCTAGCAGATTTGATAGCACGCAAAATTTTATTTAAGTGATCATTTGGGATACCACGAACACCCTAAGGAAACAAATTGCATTGTAAACACAGCAGCTATTATTTCTGGGCTCTCTATCCCACAATCATAGACACTCTTTTAAACTTCAAATATCACAAAGCTTGTAGAAAAATCACAGAAGCTGGTAATGCTGCTCACAGGTGTAGCCATATCCTCCACAGCTGCAATTTTATAGACATCCTCTCAGGGTAATACATTACATCTACTTATAACACGTGGAAATTTAGCTTTGAATTTTGTAGGTTGAGGGTT